AAATTGTAAAAGATTTACAAAGTATGTTTCCATGTCAAAAAATTATTAATAAAAACAAATTTGTACATTAATTCTATTTTTATATTTTACAGTAATAATAATATTAAAATTTAATTAAAGTTTTGTTACATTTATAAAAGTATTTATATTTATTTTGTAGGATGTTTTTTTCTTTAATTATATTAGATTTCAAATAAAATGCTAATTTTTTGTAGAGTTGCAAATTATCAAGATTCCGTAATTAAAAGACAATATAGAGTAAGACAAAAAATGAGATGTTTGTTTTTATGTACAAAAAAATTGAAAAAGATTAATAAGCAATTGCATAATTTAACTCGAATTCAAAAATTAAAAATATTAGGCGTCAAATAAGTTTCCGCCGTTTTTTATCAAAAATTAAGCATTTATTGTGAAAGAACGGTACATAATGTTTTATTCAAAGTAATGGCCATCGCTAGCCACTATTTTTTCCCATCTTTCTGATAGCATGTGGATACCGCGTCGGAAGAATGCTTCATTTTTTGAGGCTATCCAATCATCGATACAATTTTTGGTACCTTCATATGATGTGAAGTGCTGCTCAGACAGGCCATGCGTCATCGATCGGAACAAGTGATAGTCGGAAGGAGCAATGTCTGGAGAATACGACGGATGGGGTAGAACTTCACATTTGAGTATTTCATCCAATAATGCTTCCAATTCCGCGTCTTCATACACTTTCAGCTACGTTCTTTATCTTCGATGTCAAATTCATTTAAACTTTTGAAACTACTCACGACAACTTCTCTCACTTAAGACAGCATCACCATATGCTTCTACAAGCAATCTATAAGCCTCAGCTGCAGATTTCTTCAAATTAAAGAAGTAAATCAAAAGTTCCCGCAAATGACGCTTATTCGGCTCAAAACTTGACATTTTCGTACAAAAAAAAATATATGATGCTGATACAAAATCGCTAATATTTCAAGGTTATGGTGTTGCCGGATGTCCAATCTTACGATATGTCGTTTTACATCAAACAATTTTAACTATAATTTATTAGTGGCGCCGTCTTTTGCAAACGGCGGAAACTCATTTGTACTCCCAATAATTTATATTATAAATGTCGGGAAAGGAGGCTTCGTGAGAAAATACGTTTTGCATCTTTTTTTCAACATACAAATTAAAGTTTTTACACATTCAAATTTATCTTTTAATTTAAAATAATTTTGCAGGTTAAAAGTACAATGAAATAACATACTTGAAAAATAAATGTTTTCATTGTAATGACAAAGTAATAGAGGAAGCTATTTCAAATTTATTTCAACAATTAGCTGTTAAAGTTGTTAAAGCTGTTTTGCAACAGCAAAATTAAAAAGTGTGAAGAGCATAAAATAATCAAACGAATGGATATATGAATGTATTTTGCTTCGGATTAAATATACAAAATCATATCGTATAATCATTTGAGATCTCGCAATATTCTAACCCTACCTTCAATTGAAATACTAAATCGTTATATCAAGTCAAAAGTTGTTATGAATTTTAAATAAGCACATTTGAAATATTGAAAACAAAAACAACAAATATGGAATCTAATGATGTGCGAGGTATATACATATACATTTTATTTACAAAATTATAATTAATTCTATTAACATAAAAAATGTTTTTGATTAAGAAATATTTCTTTCTTGCTTGGACAATTACACAAGAAACTTAACTTTTACGTATTTTAATAAATATTATACACAATATTTCAAGCTGAAATTTATTTTTAGGTATTTTAGGTGTTTTATTAGTAGATGAAATGAAATTATCGAAACTATATTTTAACTGTAAGAGTCTAAAAGTTGAAGGCTTTATTGATTTGGATTAATATACCTCGGAAGAACAAAAGAAAAAAAAAGGAGACCATGCATTAATTGTTTCAGCCCTTTAAAGGAACATGGATTCAATATTTGGCTTGCTTTTTGAGTGTTGGCAATACAAATGCATCAATCTTACACAAAATTATTATAAAGTGCATTATTCTAACAGAACTTGGACTTAGACACCGTAATATCAAATGGAGCATCATGAAATAGATCTATGTGGAAAATATTTAGAGTAACAGAAGAATGTGTTAGTATATAGCATATTGTAGATACAGAAAGACGCTTGTGATTTATTTCTGATTTTCCACATTTAATAAAATTACGAAATTATTTTTTCTCAATTCGATATGCGAGATTTTGGGTGAGTTAAAAGTAAAAAATTTATATTAAAACATCTAAATTGACAATACACAATTTCTTTCCAATTATTTAATTTAATAATAAGAAAAATGTTATGATTTTAATTAATAATTTTATATTGTCCATATTTATTATATTAACATAATATATTATACTTTTAATATTTAATTGAACACTTGATTTTTCGTTTTTTAATAAATATACAGACTCCGAATGGTATAATTTCATTAAAACATTGGTATGCGTTACCATTGAAAATCCTCAAGGATTTAATCTGAAATCTAATTATCATTTGGATAAATATCATATCAAACCTAAATATTATCAGAAAATGAATGTTGTAATGGCGGGTAATTTCGAGTATGTAGATAAAGGTCTATGTATATATATTCCGATGTTTCTTTTATCCACAAAAGTGACTTAAATGTAGCTTTTCAGCTAATTAGATAGCTCGCAAGCCTCTTTTATCGATAAAAAAATTTAGAATATGTGAACCGAAGTATCATTATGAGTAATGATTGTGTTGATAAAGACATTATTACAATAATAAATATTATATTTATTTATTATAATAATAAACATTATTATAATTCTATATTTTATTTACAATGAAGTAATGTATGTATACACTGACATCATATGTACTTAAATATTATTTTTCAGTTTTTCAGTGTGGCACCTACCATGCAAATATTCAAAGAGGCAGCTTCATTATGATTTCAATGCTGATGGATCAAATTATGCAAAAGAGTAAATACATTGCTCACTGCCATGAATAGTCGCACTCCTAAGAATTCAACTGGGTAACGAAATGTATAAGGTAATCATAAGTATAAACCTTGCGAGTAATTTTATGATATAGTAATTGTGATGTTCAGTGTTTAATTATGTAAAATTTAAATAAATTTATATGTTTGTTTATGATGTTTATTATATACGTTTTTTAAAGGACTTTATCAATATTTGTTTACAGAATATCGAACATTTCTTAACATTTTTAATTGAATAGGAAAAAGGAACTAAAAAAATGCAATTCAATTTTATAACTGAGCAAACTTGTTACAGTTTGAAAGTTTCTCTCAAAGCTACTCTTGAAATTTGTTCTTTTTTGAATAATGAATGCGGAATTCAGTATTTGATGACATCTAGATTAAATCAAGACAGTTTGGAGGTAAATTTATCTTTTTCAAAATGTAAATAAAATTTGTAATATTTAATTATGACATTTGTAGAGTAGTATTTTTTGAAATGATGCGAAATTGTTGTGGTTCCAATGATTCATCTTGATTCTCAGTTATTTATACAAATATACAGATTGATATCAAAATATTCTCTTTAATAAAACCATCAAAAAATTCTAATGTGTCAAGTATAGAATTAATGAATGTTCTTCTAAATATTAAAGATATAACATATATTAAAGAACGGGAAGAGCATTGATAGGTCAGATAGATACTATCCTGAACAGAAAAAAAAATACTGATTTTATGTCCCATCAATTCTTAATGATCATGATTCGTATGATTCGTATGGTATATGTACTATCTCTGATTACATTCTGATGTACATTGCTGGATATGTGGCAAGAAAAGAAAATAGGTTTTGTAAGGTATAAATAATAATAAAATTGTTATTTGTGAAGAATGTTTAAAAACATTGATTTTACAACCAAATGATGAGATATCAGAAAGATATAAATTAATTCAAATAAAATCAAAAGGATATTTAATAAATCCTTCTGTGACCTTATTTCAATTGCTTTCAACTTTGGAAAAAAGAGTAATAGAAGCAACACAATGTGGAGAAATTAATGTTAATTGTTCATTATTTGTAAATAATGGAATTGATTGACGAAGAAAAAATCCTGGCTCTTCTTGGCTGTGAGAAACATAATTACGAATTTACTAAGAATGTTATCCGTTTCTATTTAATAACACGAATGTTTTTCTTAGTCAAACAAGCGAACAGAAATGATAATATTGAGAGAGAAAAAATAAAAGAAAAAAGAAAAAGTTCAAAATTAGTTAAATTGGATGTTTCAAATGTTTTGAATATTCTCAAATTGAAGAAATAAATGTAGTTGAAACCGAGATACAAAAAAAATAATAGAAAACGAAAAAGAGTAGAAAAACTTATGTAAAAAGCAAAACTAGAACGTTATACTTTATATATAAAGGGTCTTTCAATAAGGACGCTCGATTTTTAAATGTAAATAAAACAAGTTGTGTGTGAGATATCCATTCAATTTTTTTTTTATTTCAAAGAATATTTTATGGCATTAAGTATGGAATATAATGTCGC